GTCGAGGAATTATATGCAGTACGGGTTGAAGGGAATGCTTCCCGAGCCCGGCACCCAGACTCGTGGGGGGCCGAGCCGGTCTCACCCCAGTACCGAACTGAAGAAAGGCTCACCCGGGTGGCGCGAACCTTCAGAGCTAAGGTGCCGACCTGAATAAGTTAGAGCCGCCCTGCCAAAGGATGGCGCCGATCCGGTCACTATTAAAATATTCGCCACTTGGGAGGTCATCATTCGCTGATGGGACAGCCTGTCATAGTCATTCAATCAGCATTAAATGCTACCCATGCTTGCATTTAATGCCTAGCAAGCAATGATTGGAGAAACCTCAAATCGCATTAATGAACTGTCAGGGAGGCGCCGAACTGCTCTGCAAGTCTACTGTACGACAAGACCGGTGAATAGTACCCCATTTAAGAGTACTATAAATAGCAGCTCACCTCATTTATTTTGAGTTGTTGAATCCTCAACTAACTTAAGCTTTCCTCTACTTTCTCTCTCTAAAAATTGTAAGAAGTCTCTTGAAAGAATTGTAAGTATATCATAAGTGCCGACCTCGTACGAGAGGCCGACCTCATGATCATTTAATAAAATCGTAATTAAACTATATCTTCCCTTTATTTCCAGTCCTGTACTTTCAATATCTTCAATCTTAACCGTTGACCGAAAACGCTCGTCAACACATACCTCAACTACACTCGAATGCAACATTTTGAAAAGATAACTTTCTAGCACGGGAATATAATAAATGCCTCACTCCATTTCTTCATGAATATAAAACTGGGGCGCTCAACTTGGTCGATCTGTCATGCATCAACATAAGCTTGCTTATCATCTATTCATACTCTAAAACAATCGAAGGTCATGAATTGTAAATCAAAACTTGGTTCAAAGAGAAAACTAAGCTATGAAAATTCGGTTGAGCACTTGGAACATATATATGTCCAAAGCTATTCCCTAGAGCACTCCAAGTGCCAGATAACCTGTTGATTGTGGTAAGAGTAAGTCATTTGAACTTTTAATGAATCCCTAACCTTGTAAAGGTAGAGTATTACAGGATACTCTTGATAGGGAGGTCACCTATATAAGTGTGAAGTGTGGGCCGCTTCAAATGTAAACACTTATGAATCCATTGTGTTGTCCATGGCCAAAACAGACACAACGATAGAACGGAATGGAGTTAAGACTCTATTGTGTGAATGTCATTATCTTGGTGTACATTATGGAGGAATAGTTCAAGGCATTATGTCCACTAGGCCGTCAGTGCATCCGATGATGTTTACTAAGAAATGTTCAAAGGCAAAAGCTACATTTTCTGATGCGATAGAGTTTTGTGAGGGTTGAGCACAGGAGTTTGTATATATGCGTATTTCTTTATTTTCTCTTTTGTGGGGGAATATCCCACATGCACCGTCCCATATGCCAATTGGTCATTATTTAAAAAAAAAAATAAAAAAAAATAAAAAAAATGTTAAAATATTGCAAGTTGAATTGCAATTTGGCCAGATTGATTCCTTTCATTCACCTATAAAAAAGCCATTCGGCCAAACGAAGAAAGTGCACCAAACAGAAGAGAAAAAGAGGGGAAAGAAAGAGAAAGATAAAGGAAAGAAAGATAGATTTATGTCCAAATATCGATATAAAAATATCACAAGAGAAAAAAACAAGTGATATTTTTATTTGTTTCAAGATATTCCTTTTATTACTAAGTGCTCAATTCTCGATTTCGTTCTCGTTTGCCGGAGCTCGTAAATCTGGTGTGCTACAGATTTAGAGACGTTTGTCGTTGTATCTTTGGGGAAGTTACGCCTGAACCGTTAGCTGCCACACGGGGCGTATTCTTCTTGCGGAAAGAGTTTTACTCGCCTCGGCTAAAATCTTTCCGTTTTTCAGTTGTAATTTATTTTTCAGTTTAATTGTAATTTTTTATTTTTAGATTATTTGGAAGAACTGAAATTACATATCAGTTCGTAGGATTCCCGTGTATTTTACACCAAATATCCAACAAGTATAATACCGTACACAATTTTGAGGCTGTATGCTTTTACCGATGATCCTGTTGGGTCTGATCTCATGTTCGATCAAGGAAACAATATAACATTATAACATCGCATTCAATTATCTAATATGGTGAATTGATTCGATTAAAGAACGTAATTAATAATCTAATTTCTGATACAGAGGATCGTCTATAAGACGCAACTGTAGAGCATACTCTCGTCATATTACAAATTGAGCTCTATAAGGTAGAGACTCGTGCTGATAACGTATTATAAAATTAGAGAAAAAGAGAGAATAGAGAAAATGTATTCTCTTAGTTGTATTTTCATTATAACTGAAGCTCCTATTTATGGAAAACTTCTAATGGTACAATCATAATAATACAATTATATCAGGGACAAAATAGTCATTCACATATATTATTTATAATAAAATTGGCGGTGTTGGTTGAACCACCAACCAACCCTATATATATAACATGCCTTTTAAAACTTCAGGGTTCTAGTGCATTGGAAGTGTGAGATGTTTTTATATGTTACACACTCTCATTCCAACTATCATGGTAATAACATGTCCATCCCTCGTTCTAATTGGTTATAAACTAAACTAAAAAAAAAATAAAAATAACTTAAAATTCAAATTTGACTCAACCCTACTATTCTTAATATTATCAATATAATTAAATAACATCAATCAATCATTCTTACACATCACATCAACTTTTATTCACTATCCATCCATTCACATAATTTGACTAACCATCACTTCTAATTATTTTTTCTCCTATTTTTACATCACATCAACTTTAAATATTATTTTAAATAATATTTAATTTAAACTTAAATTCACACTAACAACTAACCATACAATATTTCAAAATTAACTATGTTAAAATAATATATATATATATATATATCCAATCAAATTCATATCCAGCCATACCCTAAGACTATCTTTACTCACGACCTGGCTGATGGGTCGTGAGCGGGTCGTGAGCAAAATGACAAAAAAAATTGTATAAAATCGCCGGACATGGGTCATCAACCCAAAATGTTAGATGAAATTGGACGCTTGTCCCATTTCTATTGGATGGAGCAATTTATTTGAAAGGATATAGATGATTCAAATTATCTATAGTAAATTATATTAAAAAAACACCAAAATTCCTAATTTTTCATTCTTTACAAATATAGAAACCACATTTGATAGGTTTTGGAATACAATCAATTCCTCTCTTTTCGCTCATTTCATAATCATATCTTATTAATTTTATCATCTCTTTCAATATTTTATTTTTAATTTTTGTTATTTCATTTTTAATTTGCTTCGTAATTTTTTTTAATTGTATGGTAAAATATTATTTTTTTTTAAATTATTACGACTTTAATTATAAATTTTTAATTAATTTATCACATCTAAAATAATAACAAAAAACAATTGTAGATAATACTTAATAAATAATTTTAAATAAAATAAATATTTTGGTTTGAGTTGGGTTGTGGATAAAGATGAGTTAAGTTGTGAAAGTTGGGTTATGTAAGTGGATGAAAGAGAAATAATTTTCATTATTGGGTTGGGCAGTTGGGTAATGGGTAAAGATAGGTAAAGATAGTCCAAGCATTTTTCAGATTTCATATGTGGATTAGCGGAGGAAACAATTGAGCATGTTCTATTTTCCTGCCCTCTGCCTAAGAATTCCAGTATATTATTTTGGTTTTGCTTTCGAAATTTGTAGGCCACCTACGAGTGGTTCTCTCTTGTTTCGGCTTCGGACTTGTTCCATCTTGTATTCAAACTTTGGTTTGATTTTATTTGAGTAAATCTATCGTTTCGACCAAAAAAAAAAGCCTCAATTTGTTTTCCAAAACTTTGCTCCTATAGATATTATCCAAGCTCTAACTTATGTTTGTCTTTGAAACTTCTAGCTCCAAAAGAATAAGTGAATAATGAAATGCATGCACAAATTTCTACATGGTCCTATATTTTCTTTAATGTGCCAGCCATTCGATTCACCCTTTTGTTTTTCTTTTTTTGTTTTTCTTTCACCGTACGAATTGTGATTTGACTTAATTTTCAATGGCATAACTCGGAAAGTATTTTCCATCAGTGCTATTTCATTTTCACCTCACATGACCCAGCAACACAGGTTCATTGTGAAATGCAATAGCAATACTGGTAGGAAGTAAAATATGCTCCCAATCAATAGTAATGTAACCTGGTTTATTATTTGTGTAAATTTAGCTTCCAAAATTGTAGCTTATGCAGATTTTCTTCACTGACCAGCTGCATTCAGAAATCAATACAAAAGCTTCACAAACAAACTACATTACTAGCAAGTTGAACAGGCTTCAACCTGAAGTAGAAGCAGAAAACATGATGGGAGTTGCATGAAATGCATCTTTCTCTAGGCATATATAATAATGAATGAACACGAAAAACCCTGCTAAAAGAAGCAAACCACAAAAAATGTTACTACCCACCCCTTCATATTTCACAAACCATTCATTTTCGAATCAATATCGAAATCTCATATCATCATCAAGAATGCTTCCTTGAAAACCAACAATTTTCTTGTTCAAATGCTAAAAGAATGCTTCCTTGAAAACCAACAAGCCACTTTAATTTTCAAATTGTTATCTAATCTAAAGAAATATCAGAGAAAGAAATAATTTTCTTGTTCAAATTCCTCAACCTCACTATCCTCATCATCCTCCTCCTCCTCCTCCACAAATTCCACATCCCCAACAACTGAAAAACTCCACCCTTCCCTCCTCAACTCCAAATCAGTCTCTTCAATCTCCCCATTCTCCACCCTAACCCACGGGACCCACACGTCCGCGTGCCTCCCCAGGGCCCTATCCCTGTCCCCAATCACTACCGTCCCAAGACTCGCCTCTCTCGCTTTCCTCAGCATCTCCGAAAAATCCGAGTCGTCCGAGACAAGCACAATCCAGTCGACCCCCCGGCTCATCGAGTGGGCCATCTGCCTCTTCAGGGCCCAGTCCGCAGCCTGCGGCTTGTCCTGCACCGTTCTAACGTGCACGCCAGCTCTCCTCAGCTCCTGAGCCAGCCTGTACCCGACTTTTGGTGTCAGTAGGCTCCGGGCGGCCTCGTTGTACTTCTCATTGCCGTCTATGAACTTTTCCTTGAAACGCTGCCGTTTTTTGCCCTTCAGGCTCCGCATCCGGTTCAGCTTCTTCTGCCTCTCCCTCAGATGCAGCTGCTTGAAGTGCTTCTTCAGTTCCAGGTTGGTCTTGAACTTCCGGCCGCAGACGGAGCAGGCGTATGTGTCGTCGCTGACGGCTCCTCGCCGCTCGAGGACGTCAAGGCGGCGGCGCTCGCGGCGCTCCTCGACGACCCACTGGGGGAGGTGGGAGAAGGCGTGGTGGTTGGCGTAGGCGGACACGTCGACGACGTCGCCGAACCTCTGCGCCACCGATCGGAGGGCGACCGCCGCCTCGTATGGAGGGCCGCGCGGCGGCTTGTTGTCGAGGTCCCAGAGGACGACGACCTTCTTGGCCTTGGCGGCGTACGCGCCGTCCCCGGTGCGGACCATGTCGATCTCGTGGAGAGGGGCGCAGGCTTGTACGGGGAGGTATTTGGTGGTGCGCAGGGTTGTGTGGTGGGGTCTGGGGGTGAATGGCGGAAGATATTGAAATGGGGTTTTGTGTTTGATTGGAATTGGAGCGGAGGAGAGTAGA